ATAAACACATGAATGAGTTTTGGACCCATCGACATTGCTTTACTGATCACACAGCCAAGAAATAAACACTTTGCTTTAATTTAGTGTACTTTACTGTGCCCAAGTAGTTAAGAGTGGCCAGATAAAATGTAGTCATGTCTCTTACAGACCTGTGTAAAATGTGCTGCAGCCAGGGTTGGACTTTAAATGAGTTGTTTACAACACTACTGAGGAATCTCGACATTATTCAGAAATGCAGCTAATCAAAAGTGGCATAAAAACTTTGTAACACTTACATAATCTATTTGGTATTGCACATATTACAGAAACTTATTTGCATTAAATATTTTTAATTTAAACACAAATTCAATTTCCATAAACAATTAACCTCAGACACAATGCCTTCCCTAACCCCTTACCTTAACCATTACAAATAAATGACTTTTCGTAAGCCTCAGCCTAACCTTAATCCGGCCGTGATTCCAATCCTAACTCCTAACCAAACCTTAAACCTCAAAATGCCCTCATTCCTAGTGGGGACCCAAAAAATGTCCCCATAACACTAGTGATACTGAGACCAATATAACACACACACCCTCTCACACACACACTTTTTTTCTCATACGTTAAAGCTGGGATCTGGAAATACTAAGTTTTGCACCTCCTCCATCGGACCACGTAATACACAAGAACACACAGTTCCTGACAGAATTAAGAAAAGGGGAAACACGGTGCTGGCAGCAGAGTTTTACACTTTCAGGAAAATCACAGTGGCTGACAACTGACTGACACAAGTCAGTTAATAGCAAGAAACTGTAAAAGAAATGTTCAAAAATATGAATATCTTCTATAATTCTTTATATTATTATTAGTAGAATATACTAATATATTATTGGTAGTAGATTTTATAGAATAATAACAACAACAACAATAATAATGATAATGATAATGATGCTATTATTATTATTATTATTAATAATAATAATAATGTTATTATTATCTTTATTATTATTATTATTTTTTACCCATGCACATATTAACAAAAATACATTTTGATTCTCATTTTCTTTTTTTTACCCATGCATATATTAACGAAAATACATTTTGATTCTCATTTTCTTTTTATTTAAACATTACTGCAGTCTATATCATTTGTATTAATACAAATAATCAAACCCAATATTATTATACTTTAATTTTGTATTAATTAGATGCATACATCTCTTTATGAATTAATTACAGTGACCAAAATGCACTAAAAATATATCTGATTCAAACAACAATGGAGCTTTGTGAAACTGTTGATCTGTTTTAAAGATTGAATGGGAGAAGCAACTTTGGGCATTTGCTTCAAGTTGCACAAAGCTCATTGCCCAGCTTTGTCTTTGTATGTGTGACACAGCAGCCAGAGCAGGAGTCAAATAACAATCTGAGACTCACAGAGGCCTGAAAGAACGGCGTCAAGACAGAACTGGCTCATAAAAATGTTCAATAAATGCCATAGATCCATCAGCTTCTATCAGGCCTGCCAGTAAATACCGCATTTTCGACGGAAGGTTGACTTTATGAAAGACAGCAGGGGTCACTTCACTCGGATGATGACTGACTCTCAGCCAGCATAAGCAGAATACACTCGTTTGCACTGCACTGCTGGCTTGACTGCAGATATAAGCATGAAGTTGGAATTATGGCTTTCCCAGTGGAGCCGTGTGGAAGATCCGGAGCCTCTAGTCTGGGACTCAGCCTCCCAGGATGAGCAGAAGGGAAGATGTAGTAATCCAGGGTCTGCTGGAGAGCAGTGAGGACAACGACTGAAATGGATGTTGCCTTTCACCTCATTACTACATCAACCTCTACTCCAGCAAACTGGTACAAATACTTGAAATATTGCATGGTCATGTTTGGTCATTAAAAAGATTACATCAAAGCAATGTAACATGTAGCGTTGCAATGAGAATAGACACCACTGGTTTGATCAAATTCTGTTATTTGACTGTTTTTATTTCATATATAATACTTTCGTGTGGGGAAAAAGACAAGATAATTAAAAATGTCAAAATATGTAATTTTTAGACAATTAACAACAATTAAAAATATTTCCCCAATCAACTATTTGTGATGATATTTGTTAGTTGCAGCCCTGTGTGTGATTCTGAGACCTATTTTATTTCACATCATAATAATGTAATTATATGATACTGTATATGTATCATTTAAAGGCTGGGTTACAGAAAAAAACAATACTGAAGGCATTTAGCCATAACCCCCTTCCCCATCACACGCAGAAACGCACGCACGCGCACACACTCACACACACGCACACCTTGGTGCCACTTCCTCCATAAAAGCCCTGGCAGTGGTCCACGTGCCCATTAGCAGGCGCTAAACAACTGTTAACAGTGTATTACCCAGACTCCCCTGCGCCACCACTTGTGCTCTGCCCCGCGTCCCTTTAATGGCTGACAGGTAATTATGTCAAAGGTTTTTAATAAACAGCCAATTCATTGCGGTGTAGGTGACGCCCATATTCACAGTTAGAAAATGCGTTTCTGACACGACTCTCATTTAAACTGTGGTTACCTCCGATTGGCTGAGTGATGCCGCACAGCTGTGACGAAACACCGGGTACCTGCAGCATCCTGACTGGTTATTGTTGACTAAAAGGTCAACAGAAACATCAATATTTGCGTTTATTAGAAGTATTTCTCATTTACATAACTGTTTTTAATAAAAATAATATTTTATTTAATCTTTAAGTTATGCATTTTTTAAAGTAATCCAATCTACTAATTGACCGTATTATACACCGCAGAAAATAACCGTTTTGATTTGTTTTGTTTTTTTCTGTGGCTGTGACAAGCGAATATAAAATATTAACACCGCAGAAAATGACCGTTTTGATTTGTTTGGTTTTTTTTCTCCCGCTAGCTGTGACAAGCGAATATAAAATATTAATATTTTCACAATAGGAATCTCGCCGGAAAAAACACTTTATGTATATATATATAATATTTTATAGATCAATTTATAAAGCATGTAATGTAAACGAATATCTGAGCTGTAAAATAGCGTAAATTAAATAAAGTATTTTCACAAGTAAAAATAAATAAATAAATTCATCCGCCGCTCATTTATTTGAATGTTAAAGTGACCGGGAAAGGAAGAGTAAATGTGCTTTTCTTAAAAATAATTATTACGACGCTTTGAAGTACTACTATTTGTACTTACTTACTTACTTACTAATATTACTACTTAATATTAGTAATATTTGTATTTGCAGTACTACTATTACGAAGTTTGGCCGATGCACGGAATATGTTGTGAACTGTGTCTTAATTTCCAACTTGACTATAGTAAATGTATGGAGTGTGTGTGTTGTTAATATGCCAAACATAAAAAATAAATACCGAGGGTCAGTTCTTACAGCATGAAATATGCGCAGAGGAATAAGTTATCCAGATAAATATAAAAATAATAATGCATAAAAGAAGACAGCAAGTGTTTAAACATGTTATCTGCATTTAGTCCAGTCTGACTGGGGCCAAAATTTGTGCAGGTAAATTTATTGGCGCATTCTGTGTCCTGATTATTTTACCATACCATATCATTATTATTTATTTATTATTATTATTATCAGTATTCGGTTGTTGTAGCTAAGTATGACTCAAATGTAAAAATATAAAAAAATAGCACAGCGGCAGAAGATAATTAAATATGGCACCTGAAATGACAATTATTATATAAACTATTTTCAAAAAGCTTTTTTTTACACTACTCACTATAAAACAAACACTGATCAAAACACTTTAAATTAAATCCATGTTAAGGTTAATAATTAAACGAGTTCAATTTTATTATTAATTTTTATTAATTTGATTTTTCAGCTCTTTTGTTTTTATTTTTCGCTGGTTATCTGCCAACCAATATTGACTACCACTGTTCGATAATAATAATAATAATAATAATAATTGCTATTATTATCATTATTATTATTATTTAAATTTCAAACTGATTTTGAATTGTATATTTTTGTAGTTTATTAAGGACCATATTCCTTTTCATGTGGAACCTATTGAGGTTTATTAAAATCGAACATAAACCTCGGCCTGAAAGTACCGCTCATGTTATACAACACGCACATCTTTGCACACTTAATCTGTCTCTCTACACACGAGAGCAACATTTCTTTACTCTCGCGGGATTTTAAAGAAATATGACGTGTTTAGGGGGTCTGCAGGAAGTGAAACTCCAGGCGTTTGATCTGATAACCACACACAGGGATCTGCGTGGGCATGAACCCAACTGATGCCAGTAAGTGATGTCGACGTGGTGTTTATTTAACCAACAAACCAGGAGAGGCCTGGACCTGGAGGTCTTTACGAGAGGAGAATGGAGGGGGAGTTCAGAATAGATCATTAAATTCACCGAGGACAGTAGTGGGTTAGTGACAACAGGTTTATTAAAAAAAGGATGTGACATTTTTCCACAAAGACGCAAAAAGCGCAAATTCTTAGAGTTTCGATTCACGGTCATCTTTCTCAAAGTCTCCCTCCCTCATTCTCTGTCCACACACTGCTGTGGATTATTGTAAAAATGAGCCACGGAGCCAGAGATCTAATCCAGTCACCTCCAAACTTCACTTCCGCTCATGATGGAGTTTTAAATCACCCCGTGACGCTTTAACTGGCTCGTCACAATCAAGTCTCCGTGCAGCCCACACAGACCATACTGACTGAATTAGTGGTACAGTTGATATATTGTAATTACTCACGTTTATACGCACGGGAGCCACTCAGGCCTGAAATAATTTAACAGTTAAATGTCTTAGATTCGCGTTATTAGCGTGCTTGAAAACTGTGATTTTTTTAAGGCCTAAATTTCTTTCTTTCTGTTCTGTGATTACTGTTTATTATTATTATTATTATTATTATTATTATTATTATTATTATTATTATTATTGTTGTTGTTGTTGTTGTTGTTATGAATGTGTTTTTCGAGTGCTGATAATGGAAGGCCTCTGTGTTCTTTCTGTCTGAAACAGAGTTTGTATCATTAAAAATAAAATAAAATAATAAAAACTACAGTTATTATTTGTATGTTTTGGAAAGACATCGACGGAAAATCAAAAGGAGCATCAGCATTTCTACTAATCACTCACATTGTTGTTCCACATAGTTTTAACCTCGTGCACAAATGCACTGATGTTTAGAGAGAGAAAAAAATTGGAAGACGTCCTTATTTTCAGGAAAAATAAGCAGTGGCGACTGCGCAGAGGAGACTTCTGGAGCCGTGCGTAAAAGTTGGAGAGTGAAGGGGAGAGAGAGAATCGGATGCGAGAAAGAGAGCGACGGGAGAGAGGGAGGGAGAGATGGATGCTCCTCGCACTCTTGAAGACATGATTCACTGTCTAAGTCCTCTCTGACCACATAAGGAGGCTCCAGTGGGGCCCCACAGCAGGCGGGACCAGCAAAAAGTTCCGGGAGGGCTGGAACTCCCCGTGATTGGTTGTTCCCTGCTGTGATTGACAGGTCGCCTTGTGCGCCGCTCTTCTAAGCTCCGGGTAGTTGACACTGTCCAAAAGTGCGCACGGTTCACTCGGATAACGGAGGCACTATTTCATCTCCTCTGCTGTCGCTGCCTTGTCTCTGTACTTAGGCCCCCGTCTGTCGTCGTGGACTGTCTTACTTCGACTCAGCGTTTGCTACGAACTTTTCTCCAAGTCACCGAGACTCTGTCTTCTGTATCTCGCTTCTCTGTCCCGGGACGGTGAGTGAAATGGCAGAGAAGCGGCGCTCCCCGTGCGCCCTGAGCGTCAAGGCGCACGCGTTTTCGGTGGAGGCTCTGATCGGAGCGGAGAAGAGACGAAGGACGGACGGCGAAGATGTCATGTCTCCCGGATATGAGGACGCAACAGACGTCTCCAACCTCACCGGGAGCCCGGTACCGCGGCCTGACAGGGTGTCCACCCGGGACCAAGGCAGTGAGGCTGAATGCGCAAGCGACGAGTCCCGTAAGTGAATAACACCATAACCACCAAGTACAATTATCCAAATAAAATTAAAGTTGCTGTTTATATCATATATTAACAGTTTTAAATCAAAAGTACCAACAGGTAAACAGATAATAATTTAAAATGACAATCAATGTTTTATTCTTTTTTCAACAAGACGTGTTTATTTACTCGTAATATTTTTATTTAATTTAGCTATTTATATTTTCGATTTTAAGTCACAAAATTAATAATATTAAGAGTTATAAATATATATCTTCTGTAATATTTATTTTATGATAGAAACACTGTTTTTTTTTTGTTTTGTTTTTTTTTTGTTTGTTTGTTTGTTTTTTTACGCAGAAAAGCTTTGGTCATCATATAAATAAATATATATCCACCGCATAATGATGTAAAAAGATGCCAGGCCTGGTCAGAGGCTCACACTGGAAATGTGATATCATATCCCGGGCTTGGTCTAGTAAATATGAGTGTGACTAATGTGAAGAGCTTTATGGGTAGTGCTGCTATCATAAACACGCCAATTAGCAGCGTATAAAGACAGGGGAAGTGTGCAGGGCATAAACCGACTGGACTCGTGACAAATTAGGATTTAAATCCGCAGCAATTTTCGAATAAAGCCTTGACTAAGCGTTTGTCTTTTGTGTTAGTTTGCCTTGTTACAGTCACGTCTAATGTGCATAAATTCCCAGCACTTGGCGAGGCCTGTGTCAAACTGCGCAAATAACAACAGAGGACGGAGACATAAACACTGTAGGAGTATAAACACAGTCCTGAAGTGAGAGACGACATCATAAAAGCCATTAAAGTGAAAACAACGATGCTTTGTAAATACTGCAGCACTTTCTGATTTAATATCTCCAAGTACACGCACTTGGCGATATTAAGGGTGGAGTACGTTACTTAAAAGAGACATGTTTGACCTCATTTATGTACAGGTTTTAGTGCAGCCGAGATGGTTATGAGCACATTCATGGCTCCACTTAAAAACAAGTTACCTGCCTGAAATATTAACAGTAAAACAGCTTCTGTAGTGTATAAAATTATACTGACTCCGTTGTTGTCAGTTATACCATCACATACTGTGTCAGCAACAGACTGTCATACTGGAGTCATACTGGAGACTGAGTCAAACTCAGTTTCAAAAGTTATTTCTTTCAACTTTAGTCCCATTTGGAGGTCAGGTCAAATTATTGAGTCATTGCCGCTGCAACGTTGTTATGATTTAAAAAAACAAACATGTATTACAACATGTCACTGTCTTTCTCCGGTGCAGCAGAGAGCGAGGACGTGCTGCTGGAGAGTCCGCAGCCCGCAGCTCTGTGCCCGGCGTCGGTTACCGGCACCGGGGAGGAGGCGCGGGTGGATCTGCAGGGATCAGACCTGTGGAAACGGTTCCACGAGATCGGCACGGAAATGATTATCACCAAGGCTGGACGGTGAGAGCAAGTTTAGTGAATTGTTTGCATGTATAATATTTCGAAAATCAATTGAAAGCTAAATAAACGGACTAATGCAATGGTAAACAAAAGGCAACGAGTTATTTAAAATTAATACGGTATTTATATATTATTGTCATTATTGTTATTATTATTGTTCTTCTTATTATTATTATAATGACAAGGATTTATTTGGTTCCCATCTCAGACGGATGTTCCCTGCTATGCGTGTGAAGATCACTGGTTTGGACCCACACCAGCAGTACTACATCGCCATGGATATAATCCCAGTGGACAACAAACGCTACAGGTAAAAACTAAATAACAAATACAAAAATAAATAAATAAATAACACGCACACAGAGAGATATAGGTAACAGAACAGAGGTCCCAGCACCAGATTATTCAAGCCGTCATTAGACGCACAGCAGCTGCAAGCAAATGATCCCGACTTGCAAAAAAAAAAAAAAAAAAAAAATGTTGCGTTCCTTTCCCCTAAAGAGACTCCTTGCACAGAGTTCGTGACACAATCTTTCTTTTTTTTTCCCAATTGTGCAAGCCTGCAGCCTCTTTGTCTTTTTCTCTCCTCTCCACAAATGGCGCCTGGCACCGGTGTGTTGTTACGGTGGTTTTGTCCTCCCTTTTGGAAAGGGCCTTTTGGACGCTTTCATAACATCTCCACCCTGCAGAGGGTCAGGCCACAAATGTCCAATTGTCGTTTCGACGCACAACAGAGCGGGATGTAACGCACGCAGCCAAGTCACGGCGTACAGAACAAAAACATTTCTTACATGCAACATGATGTTACGAAATTATTGTCTTTACAACACTGACCGTGATCCAGCAGTGCATGCTTTAAATGTGTGCATATGTTCAAGAGGCGAAAAGCGACCAAACATTAATGAACTATATTATTTAAATACTAAAAATGAGACAGTGGAAACACAACTGCACTGTTCGACTCACTCTGCCAGATTACAGCCTATAAAGCTATAATTTATCTGCTGTCCCTTAAATAGCAAGTCGTCAGTCAAAAGTCACACAAAAAATATGCAGCATTAAACACCGGACTAGGATTGAAACGGACGGCTGTATTCATAATCGATTAATCAGAAGTGGTTTAGATCCATTAAATGCAGACGGTGAAAATGCCAATCATTGTGTCTAAAACCCCAAATAAATCTTGAAATGTCTCGTTTCATCTCAGTTCAAATGTGAAAGTATTTAGAAGATGAGAATTATGTAATGATTCAGTCAAAACGTCAGTCATCTATTTTCTGTGTATTCATGGCGACAGTGTAATAAAAGCTTCCCACGCTTCAAGGACACTGATCTGATCATATCATTTTTACACAATGTATTAGTAGATGTTTGTAATTAATCACATGTAGCTACAGTTTGGCATTTTTGATAACAGGTAGATAACAAACCAATTTAAACAATGTTATTTTTGTGCATATAAGTGTTTTCACCTGCAGAAACTCTAGGTCAGGGCCTGAATACTGTTGTCTTTTTATTGGAATACCTCAGTCATTCAGGTCATATTAACGTACGGTCTGTATTTTTTTCAATAGGTACGTTTACCACAGCTCAAAGTGGATGGTGGCAGGAAATGCAGACTCGCCAGTGCCACCCAGAGTGTACATCCACCCAGACTCCCCGGCCTCAGGGGAGACGTGGATGCGTCAGGTGGTCAGCTTTGACAAACTGAAACTGACCAACAACGAGCTGGACGACCAGGGACATGTAAGTTCCCCAACATTGTTTTTGATGACATGGCTGTTTGCCAAGTTTGGCATTACAAATGTTTCTAGATGCATAGTTTGTTTCTATTTATAATACATTGTAATTAAAGGACCAGTTTTATCTGCTGTTAGAGAAACTCAAGATTATCATTTTTCTCTCTGTTAAGATCATTCTACACTCCATGCACAAGTACCAGCCCCGGGTCCACGTGATCCGAAAGGAGTGTGGAGAGGAGTTGTCCCCAGTCAGAGCCATTCCTGCAGGGGAAGGCACTCGCACATTCTCCTTCCCTGAGACGGTGTTCACCACAGTCACTGCATATCAGAATCAACAGGTAACACAAGTTCACATACTCTCAATTGGGATAATTCTTTTTTTTTTTACGTGAATATGCCTCATAAAACATCTTTAATCGATTCAAATTGTTAGCATGTTGCCTTACTTACAACACACTTCACCAGTCTGTATAAGCTTTAAAGCAGGAAGCAGGCTGGGATTTCCTGACCCACAGTACATGCTGGTTGTAGTAAGAACATGTTAGTGACGCCTATAAAAGTCCCTTTGGATGTGGCTCTCAGAGCTGCGCCTTAAACATCACTCGCAGCCTGTGCACAAACACATGCAAAATTAAGTCACAAATGTACAAATAATTGTCTCCATAAACCTGTTTATTCTTAGCTCGTATCAAATGTATGTTCAGTGTATGCACACCATTATAATATTCTGACAAAACTCCTTTAAATAATTATGTCTAATTTTCCTTCCAGATTACAAGGCTTAAAATTGACAGGAACCCCTTTGCCAAAGGCTTCAGAGACTCTGGCAGAAACCGGTGAGTTAATTTCAACCACAGAAATTTTCACATTATCTGGCTGCATTATATTTGGGCTTGGTTGTGGTTTTTGTCACATAATGTTTTTTTAAAACAAAAAAATGTGCAACACCCTCCCATTAAAGAGTTGTAAAAAAAAATGTGGCTAAACTGTATGTTTTTGAAGGACAGGCGATTATCATATCATTATAAAACACTGATGCGTTACCATTTATATGCTACCTTTAAAACCAAGTTCATTTCTTCAGTCCTGCTCGCAGTCGCATGTCAAGAGAGGGGAACTATATAACATCTCATCTGCAAACCCTAATGGAGCATCGGATTCCAGCCAGCTTTGTTACATAAACATCTACAGCAAAATAATAAAAGTCCAGAGCGTCTTGAAGAAAATCTGTATAAACACATTTCTAAACATATATAAACACAGCATTAAAACAGCACCGCAGTAAAAGTCTAACAGTCTCCAAACAGCCCCTCCCCTGAGGCCTCGTAGAAATCATTAGAGGAGGGAGCAGAGAGCAGGAGGAAGGAGACGAGAACGAAGGTGTGAGACAGAAAGCTTGAGCTAAAAAGTTGGTGTGAACTAAAAAAAACCTGACAACTGAGCCCATTAAGATCGACTCAAGAAAGCAGAAAAACCGGGCTTAAATATTACAGGAAGAGTTAAGCCGTTTGCTAAATAAACTCCTGCTCTGATAGGCTACTTAGCTGCTCCACGCAGCTTGTCTCAATTATCACTGGAGCTACAACCCTGCAGGGGGGAGAGCTTTTATCCACAGGCTAACGAGGGCTAACAGAGCACTTGCATTACCCCGCAACCTTGTGCCTCACCTAGAGGAGGAGGGAGACGCAGGTTTGGGCCGAGGGGGGGGCGCAAAGTCCCACCTCATAAATCCTTGCAGCGGCTTCCTGCTCCTTCGTCCTGATTCGCCCGTAAAAGCTGTGTGAAAGCAATTACCTCAGAGCACCAGGCTAGCAGCAGCCAATCGCAACTCTGCGTTTATGCCCCCTATTACCTGTGGTTACAAAGCAGATGGCGGGTGAGGCCCCCACGTTAGGCTAAAATGGCCGCCAGGTGGTTGGTGTAAGAGGCATGCTGGGAAGAAAGAGCAACGACTGTATCAGTGGCTACGGTACAAACATACAGGAGGTTCTCGGTTAAATTATTTTTATGGTGATTAGACTGTAATGCCGGTAAATATGTGGTAATGAGTGTGTGTTTGACGTTTTTTTTTTTTTTTTTTTTTTTTTTTTTTTGCAGAATGGGTCTGGAGGCTTTGGTCGAGTCTTACGCATTCTGGCGACCATCTCTGCGAACTCTTACATTTGACGACATCCCTGGCATGGCTAAGCAAGGTACACCAAACAGCTAACATCTGCATGACAGTGGTTGTCAAATGGACAGCGGTTAGAAGACAGTATATATATTTTTTTTTTTTACTGTTTTGATGGGAAAATCATGCAGTTACAAAGCTTACCTCTAGGGCTACATAATAAACCTTTTAACTTTATTTACACAAAAGAGTCTCATTTAAGTCTCAGTCTATTAATAGATGTAGTAAAAAGATAAGCAGCATCCAAGTTTAGCTTGTGTTAACTTTGTATCTATAGCTTTATGCTATGCTAACTGCTCATTGGGATTTGTTTGAGGTCTGATTTCACATGCATATTGTCTATTTCTGTAGGCATGACAGGTGGTCCCGGAGGAGTTGGTGCATCGTCCCACTTGCTCTCCACCTCCCCGTGCTCCTCACCTTTCCAGGTTTGCTCCCTGAGCTCACCTGACTACACCTGCAGTCGACCAACACACCCCCTTCACCGCTTCAGCAACCACCCAGAACCCTTTCCCTCCCCCAGAGGCCCATCATCCTATGAGGGCGAAGGATTCTGCACCCTGCCCCTTCCTGCCTCTCAACTAAGCTATCTTTCCAACCCCGCAACACAAGGTTATGCCAGTCTGCGACTTCACACACCACCTTACAGCCTGTACGGTTACACATTCCCTCCCTCACCACGTCTTGCTGCCAGCCCCGATAAGATGGCCGCCCCTGCTACTGCCAATCATCAAAGTCCGTTCCTCGGCTCTTCTCCCAGTGGGACATTGACAGACAGTTTGGGTGTGCTCAGTGGAGGACAGCAAGGTTTTCTGTTTGACTCTCGGACTTTAGGACTGGCAGGTAGCCAGGCGGGTGGAGGTCCCTCACAGGTCACTGCTCACATGGGCTGAATTTGATTCAGGGCATGTAGGGTTGCTGCGCAAAACAAAACAACACCATGGAATGGGTGTAAGTTGTTTTTGATTCCACGTATTAATCATCTGAGGCATTTGAGCACAGATGAAGCCAAAGAGTGACAGTTGAGGCCTTGCTTCTTTGAGCACACGTCAAAATCACTTAACTGAAGGGGATATTCCTTATCTCTGCGGTATCTTTTTGGTGAAAAGCATATGCGGCTGCAGTCTTCACAAGAAATGTCTCGTAGCTTTGATTAAGGAGTCCAGGCAACACAACACGGACTGAACTGGAACTGAATATGTACAGGGCAGGGCTGTTGGCCCACGCAGGCACTGCAAGCAAGCACTTCAACCCCTGGCAGGAGGCCCCGCAGCAGAAACTGTCATGCTCACACAAACACTATTCTGCCATGCCCTCTATTCTTGCTTACTATGAACGGACTTCTGAATACTACCTTTACTTTCTTTTAGGAGTAAATTGTCCAATTATCCTTGGTCAATAACGTGTCTGGTTGATAGAGTAATGTCCACAATGTATAACATGCACTATAGGCAGGATTATTTTACACCTGAAAACAACGTTAACATTTGACACAAAGAGCCTCATGTACTGTTTATATTATGATGATGTCACTGTCCTTAGAAACCAAGAGACAATGTTGGACTGAGAACTGGATGGACTGATCTATATATCATACAGTAGATGCTGAGGTTCTTGGTTGTGCGACACAGATGGTGCACACAACTTCTCTGTATTTGGAAGGGTATTAAATAAGATGTGTATATAAAATTCTCTGTGACCCTTCGCACTTAAAAACCCCAATGCACCTGCTTCAACTCTTAAGACTGGATGAGGTGGACAGCAGCCAATAATCAAGCTGATTGAAGAGCTTTTTGATATACATCATATATTGCTGCCCCGTCCAGCAGAGGACATTAACAAGATCTTTATGTGATCTGTTTGAGCCAAATAAAATATATTAATGCCACTATTATTATTGGTCAACTCATCAATATTTGCAGTTGTTGTTCTAAAACAGCTTCAAATACCAGCATGAACATGCATGACATAGATAACCAAACACCACCTCATGTATTTTTCTGCCACTCCTTATTTTCTTATATATTTTCACAGATCCTCTCCCGGCACCATTTCGTTTAAATCCTGTCAAACCAAATTCATATTAAAGCTTCAATAATTACTAAGTATTTATCCTGTGCCAAACTGTGGTTTCCCTGGATGACGCCTGAGTTTGACATGCTGTCGTGAATCACACGCCTAGATCTGTACACTAGGATTTAAAAAAAAAAAAAGTACATGTCGCCGCTCTTCTAATGGCCTGACTCATCCATCTTCTCTTCTTTACTGTATGTCTAAATCACCAGCAAACACATGGGAATGCATGATCTCCAGGAGTGTCCTTGTAACTATGCGAAGAGCAACTCGTGTGTAAGTGTGTATGTCTCTGTGTGTGGCAACAGGTGGTTGAGTTGTCAGCGCATGTGTGACCTCACGGACACAAAGTTCATGTCGAGCCTTGAGAATTGACTCCCTTGTCTTCTAAAACCCAAAGCAGAAGCGACACTCGCAGTGCTGGCCCACAAGCTCTATAACCTTTACCCAAAATTCAAGACAAAAGAACACAGGAAAAGGAAACTCTCAACCACACACGACAAATCTCTGTCTGTACTTAAACATCATTAGCATTTATGAAACATCCAGGTAAAATAACAGGAAAAGGAAACTCTGTCTGTCAGAGACAAATCTCTGTGTCTACTTAAACATCGTTAGCATACTAGCATTTATGAAACATCCAGGTAAAATGGTTTTGTTGGATTACTGATACAAACAGAAAAGAAATAGGTAGATAGATAGATCGATCATAGCACAGCTGAACTTTTAGAGACTGTGTTTATCCGAAAAGTCACTCATTGATTTTTTTTTTCCAACCTGCGCAAATATTTATTTCAAAGTTTGCTGACTCACTCCTGCTGTTTTCTTCTCTTCCCCTCAGGTGTCTCCTAAGGATAGGAACACATGTGAGAGGGAGGGCAGAAGAGGGGGAGGAGAGCTTATTTTAGAACCCAGGAATGATTGGCTTTTTGTCTCTCAGCGACATGGGATGGGACCCCTGGTGCATCCATACCACACACACACGCACGCACGCACGCTTGCATGCATGCATGCATGCGCACATACGTATATGTACGTACACACAGTTCAGACACAAATAGCAGTCAGCCTCGCTGTGACGTTTTCTAAAAAAAAGAGCTTTCGTTTGTTTTTACCCAGAAATGTAGGATACAACGGCGCTAGCATACGTTCAAAGTGACACACTGCTGTTCGGACGTGTCAGTGTTCCAGCGATTCTTAACTGAGGTGGGGACATTAACACTTGTGTACAACCAGGTGCCGACGTGACAGAACTGTCACGCTATACTCCCACAGGGGGAGGAGGAGGAGGAGAGGCAGCATAAAGGGGGCTAGCATGTGTGGGTTCACAATTTGTTCATTTACAGTCTCTCCTTTAACTTTAAAAAACTTTTAAACTTTTAGCATTAAAAGAAATGGTATTTTCTACTAGGATGATTAAACTTTTAGGTGCAGTAAAAGAAATGGTATTTTCTACTAGGATACCAGTGGATTTGAAAATATCCACTGGTATCCTAGAGAGACTTCCATGTCATCCTGCCTGACAGATCTGGAAATGTGTGCACAGATGGAAACTTTGGTGTGAAGGTGGTGAAAGAGTAAAGGTCAGCAGGTCACCGCCGAGAATGGAGTTCATCCTCCCGGGACAAAAAAAAAGTTCAACGCGTGCCATGCGAATTCTGCAATGACATCACTACACTTTATCTTTTGGATGAAGCTGTTAACTTTGTCCAGAGAAGGCTACGACGGAAAGTTCAACACCAAAGAACCAGGACGGCCATAAAAGTAGTACACCAATGAATATATAAAAACAAAGTGTCTTCTTCTTCTGGCATTTTTTTTTTACTTTTTAAACTCTTTTTTAAACTGCCCACACCCAAAAATTAATGCATCATTAATTCAACTAACTGTTGTAATTAGATGGCATCCAGTCTGGTTTGTGTTAGTCATCTTTTAGTTTAGTTTTATACTTATTGGAGTAAATTATAAATTACTTTTTGAAGCCACATTTTAGGCTAAACTTCTGAATCTTTTTACCTTTGATTCCACATTTAAATAATTGAATTATTTATTCTTGTTTGCTCAGAGAAGAGGGGTGGACAAGGCCCTGGATGTTTCTTTTTGTTGTTGTTATTTTGATGAATATTTAAATGTGTCATCATAATGAATGTTACAGTAATGTGAAACACTATGTTTGACTGTCCTTAATGTCTCATCTTCACTTGTAACATCTATTATTATCCAAAGTGGCGTATGCTGATTTACTGTTAACATTAGCCAAGTATAAATACACTTTTAGCAACGCTGCCAAAGCATCTCATCATGTCACCGAATATTCCCAAAGCTTCGAGGTGTCAAATCAAAGCTGAGACATACAGAGAACGTGTTTGCATGCAAGTATTCCTGCCAGCTGAGTCTCACAAATTTAGATGTGCTCTGCGAGAGGAGCGTCGATGAGAGGGATTCAGCAGAAGAAAACTGTTCCGGGGCATCTGCTGGTACGGTCCAAAGTAGTTTTTCCATTTTCCACCAGTCGCCTGATGCTGAATATTTTAAGAGGCAGCCACAATGTTTACATAAACAGTTATAGTTTGCACATTAACACATCAAGCGTGCTCCTCCTGAACCCGATAATGCTGTACAAATAAGACTGGATTAAATGATTGTGTGTTCCATTCAATATAAGCTCTGTGGAATGAAAGGCACAACAATTATGCTGCCAGGTTTGGGAAAACAGCTTATTTCCATAGTCTTAAAATGTTTCCTATATGCTATGATGATGGTCTGTGGCGATCCCCAGAAGCGGGTGTTGGCAAAAGGGGAACAAACCTTTTTACCATTTCTTTCCTCTACACTGGCTCCTTCCCTTCCCTTGGGGACAGGCAGCCCTGAGCACTCATCGCAGAAGTTAACATTTGCATAGAGGCCAGTTATGTGGTTTTAAAGTCCTATGTGATTGAAAGCATGACCACGTGGTCGAGCGTCGTAAGTAGAGAATTATAGCCCGCCGTGCGTGACAAAGCATAAGGAGCGGGGAGTACACAGGTGAGGTCATACTAACCAGTGACAAAAAAGTTTCCTTAAACGCAGCACAGTTTTGGCGGATCTCTCGTAAATGCATGCAAGAAATACTAAAGTCAAACTGAGATGAACTAAAAAATATATTGTGATAGTTGTTTTTAATGGGGCAAAGACGTGCTCCTTGGTCACTTCTCCTCTTCCAGGAAGTGCACCTGTGCTGCGGGGGGGAGGGGGGGGGGAGCTTCAGCTGGTGCGTGTGCTGATGATGTTGCAGGCTCAGCTCAGCAACGCCTGCGTGACCTGTTAATGGCCCTGCGGGTATTTGATGACAGTTGCAAGAATCTGAGGCTCAGGGTGTCTTTTACAGCTGTTAAATCTTTGTCATCAAATCTGCCTGCACACAGGTGATTTATGCTCCGCTCCGCAGGGCATGTTTCTCAGTACCTCCTATTAAACACCCCCATGAACTCTGCTCTGTGACGGGAGTGTTGAGAAATAATTATGACGCAGTATTTTTCCTGTAATGTTTCATGTCATCGTGGACTCTCTCTCTCTCTCTCTCTCTCTCTTTCTCCCTACAGTTCAGAAATAACGCACAAATACACCAAAACAAACATGCTACCGAACACATCTCCACAGTCAGCTGTCCGTGTATCACCTATATCAGAAAGTGACACGCTCCTAAAGACTGGATGTCGAGCCAAAAAGAAAGGAGAGGCTGTGTGGTGTCTTGTTAATGTCTGTCAGTTCTTTAACCATGTGATCTGTGGCTTTGCCCCTTATAAGCCCTCTGTGGCCAACACATATCAAAGTGCATGACAGTTATTCACAGCTGCCTTAGGCGGACAGTTTGAAAGGCGCAGGGACTTTTGTTAACTTGGATTTACACTTGACCCAGACACCTGCTGTGCAATGTTGCAAAATCTAAAGCAAACCTGTGTTACTGTAAAGCTATGTTTAACTAATTGTCTATAAACACTGAAACTAAAGTGACCTATTGGCAAATAAAATGAAGGAAAAGTCAACTTCTTTCCATTGTCTACAATCCATTTGAACATCAGTGCCCTTCAGTGAGCAGATATGATTAAAAAGAAACAACAGCAAAACTAGAAAATAAAAAGAGCTCAGTTTCCAGATATTTTTTAAAAAATTTGAATGTTTACACAAAAAGATAAATGTATGTGCTATAACATAGTGCATACACCGCTGATACTCTAGTACACAACTGATATGATCTCGCGGGCCAAATATAATTACACCACGGGCCAGATTTGGGCCCCGGGCCTGAGTTTGACACGTGTGCTCTACAGTAAAGTGACCACAGGTATGACATTTTACATTTATGAATACTGTGACTAAAATAATTCTAGAGCTGTAGATAATGACTCTGCTAAAAGGTTTAAATTAAACAACCGTGTTGGGATAAATAAAATCCAACGACTTTTATAACCTGATCCTCAGCAGAGCAACAGTATTTCCTCCTAGGATTATTGAAGTATTCTAATTCTGTACTGCTCTGTACTGCTCCAGCAGACACTGCTGGAGGTGACTAACAAGGTCATGTCTGTGTGTGTGTGTTTGCATGTGCAACTCTTTATGTGTGTATATGCTTACATGTAACAAAAATACTGCAGTTCTCACATTCAGCTGCTAATAGGAAAGGTGCGCACATGTGTGTGTGTGTGTGTGTGTGTGTGTAGCCTTAGCCTGACCGTGGCCCTGTCCAAGTCTTAGCGTGCTCATTTATAGCCAAGCAGCCCATCAATCTTAATAGAGGAGAGAAGTGCAAAGAGCCGATGAAACGGCAGACATGATCACTATTCAGTCAACGGGGGCGCGGATAGAGGGAGCTGTGAGAGCAGGGAGGCGCAGGGAAAGATGAGAGGAGGGGGAGATGGAACGGGGCAGGGTGAGGGAGCACATAAGGAGTGAAAGTGAGGAGGGAGGAAATGAGGGGAGAAAAAGTATTGGGTGAGAAAGAAAGAGGCAGCAGGCTGTTTATTC